ACCATACTCTATAAGTCATTACATTTACGTCATTTAGCAGACGCTCTTATCCAGAGCAACTTACATTGTGAGTGCATACATGATTTTTTTATACCCCCCGTTGGAATTGAACCCACAACCCTGGCATTGCAAACGCCATGCTCTACCAACTGAGCTACATCCCTGCCGGCCATTCCCTCCCCTACCCTGGACCAATTGTGCGCCGCCCCATGGGTCTCCCAGTCGCGGCCGGCTACAACAGAGCCTGGATTTGAACCAGGATCTCTAGTGGCACAGACTAGCACTGCGATGCAGTGCCTTAGACCACTGCGCCACTCAGGGAAATTATACTATTTAGGCCTATATCGAATTTGTGAAGTCATCAACAGCTATTGTTTCAATTCAACCCAGGGTTCAACAAAAAATAGACAATACATGTGTTTCATGCTTTGGTTGATGTCAAATGTAATCTTCAAGTTAATAATGAATGTTGGATTCAGGTCTCCATTTCAACCAAAAATCTAAGTTAAAGAATAGGACATTTAAAGTTTTATTTAGTCCCATTCTTTAACTTAGATTTTTGGTTGAGATGGAGACGTGAATCCAACATATCAATTACTACGTTTTAGACAAACTGGAATTAAAGTCAGACTAAGTCAGTAGCACAAAATATGTCTCCTTCAAATGTTGATATTTGGTTGTGTTGACAACCAAACACAATTCAATATAACTTTTGCAATACAGTAAACAGCCTATTAACTTGTCGACAAGTTAACAAATGACATGTTAGATTCACATCTCCAACTAATTTAAGTTAAAGAATAGGATTAAGGCAGTGGCTCAGATGTAACTGTCCAAGCATTAGATGTTGATATTTGGTTGCGTTTTCAACCTAACACAATTCAATATGACTTTTGTAATACAAACTAATGTAACAGTTTTAAGGTTGAATTAAAATGAGTAACTCATCCATGGCCACATTTTGAGGGTACTATAACTATAAAAATCTTATTATGTAATCATAGAATTTCAAGATGCATGCAAAGGTCTCAGGTGGAGATCTTCACAATATAAATATCTGCGCAGAATCTTGAACAGTATTGATCACTTGCATTATGTACTTTGAATGTAATCTCAACTGCAATCCAGGTCATTTGGTTGTGCTATTAGATGATGTAGTGATAATACATTAAATTGCTGTATAAATACAAAATATCTGACATTGTATTTCCATTTGAACTTTGTTGACCCTTTAAATGGTTGAAAGTGCAGTGATAACACATTTGGATGACAACTAAACCAAAAATCCAACATTGTTTTTCCACTGGAATTTGGTTGTGCTTTTAGATGGTTGAAAGCATAGTGATAACACATTGGGAATTTAACAAACTTATTTTTGAATAAAGGTTGAAATCTCATTGATCAACATCTCATCCAAAAATTACCCACAATTTCCACGATGAAATTCCGTGCCCAGTGGGTGAGCACACAGAGCAGGTTTCGACATTCTCATTATGTCAATAGAATACGGGCCTATAAGTGGGAAAGGTTTGACAGACAGTGAATGGAAAATGAAAGCAACTGCAAAGAAAGATGACTTGAAAATAGCTTTATTTGTAGCAATTTCAGAATTACAGGATCTGTACCTATAAGAGTATGTACATCTTATTGACATATTATGCAGATATACCGTATACAGTCAGAGATGCACAGGTATCACCTCATGCAATAAAATCCTATAAATCAAAAATGATGTATTTATTTGTAGATATACCATTTTGGGCCAACCCAATCCACCACATTCACCAGACAAGGTAAATAGCAATTTCCTTGAAAATAAAAGTGCCGTACGAGCAACCATGGCATGGCAATGCATTTATATTGACAATAACTACAGTTCTGTATCATTTTCTACACATACACAATAGATCATTTTAGAAATAATACTGATCATAATAACCGCAGAGTATATGTAATGCAGAGTTCAGTAAACATATTGTAGCAACCCTGTGATACATATACTATGGCCACTGCCAAGAGGGATAGTCCTATTGGCACTGCAGCTACAGTAGTGTACATGCCCAGCATGGGAGTTGGTGGTTTCATACCAGACAGAACCAACAACACCGTGAATTCTCTACAATACAGTAGCCCTCAAAATATCAAGCAATGAAAAAAATAATAAAATGTGCATTTGCTAGTCTCCCATTTTTTACTTCTGGGTACAATCTACGCCCGCATGGATGTCTTATGAAGACGACGATTAGATAGTGAATATTATTACTTAGAATAAAAAGGTAGGTAGGGGGTGGTAGCAGCTATATTCTAAACATATATCCAGCAAATATGTTATAGGTTTGTAGATGAAGTAAATATAATATAGATTTAGGAAGATAAGTACACACAAAACTTAGAAAATGGGTGCACCTGGATATGGGGACAAGTGAACAGAGCAGCAGCCTTAATCACTGCAAGAGGTCCAGGGAACATTAACAATGACAGACTATCATTAAGCAATTACAACTCATACAATAAAAAAAGGTTACTTTTACTTAATGGCTGTTCATAAAGTGCAGAGAGAGAACAAATGGATGTTACTGAACAGGAATGACTGTTGACGAGTCATTGAACGGAAATTACGAGTGCATATTTGAAATAGGGGAGAACTTGAGGGTTTTCCACCAGTAGCCTTTATAAATTGCATATATTATCATATTATAAAGAAGAGGGTTAGACTGTACAGTTTTCTAAAGGGTGTCAATAAGTATAATTATTATGAAAGACAGAGCAGTCTAATGACATAAAAGCCAGTTTGAGTCTAATGTTTTTGTAAATATACTAGCATGCACTAGTCATGCTCATGACATATTCTGCAAATTCAAGGCATCCCAACACTAAGAAGCATTCAAGCAAGCATTCAAAGTATTTTGAAAGAAAATATGATCTTACAATCCTATGTGAAGCAAGCATTCACAAGCATAGCTTGCGATATTATCAATATATAACATTTCTACAATATTACATTTGTTTACTACGGAGGTTACACTCAATTCATTTGTTATCCAAAATACAGGAGTTGCTTTCAGTATTTTCCAAGTAAATGCATCACTCATCTGTCTGCAGTTATCTCTTACCCTTCATCTATCCTTTTCATTCCCTTTTTCCCTTTCTATTTCATTTCAAGGAACTACTATCTAAAACTCCCTTTCACATATTTCCCATCCTGTTAAAAAGTGATACAAGTCTGGCCAAAGAGCCAGCAAAGATATAAAGGCTTAGGAAAGACATTTGAAAATGAATCACCAGTTAGTTAGGCAAATAGATGGCTTTCATGAAAATAGAACTCTTTAGCCACACACACCAGTGGTGGATTTTGCGTCGACAGAAAGATGTCTATGCAGAAAAGAACCCCATACCTACTGTAAAATATTGGGGTGGATATTTCATGTTATGGGGCTATGTTGCTACCACTGGTGCTGGGGCCCTTGTTAAGGTCAATGGCATCATTAATTTTACCCAGTAACAGGACACAAATGTGGTTGCCTCTGCCAGGAGGCAGGAGGCTGAAACTTAGCCGCAAGTGGATCTTCCAGCAAGACGATAACCCCAAGCACACATCAAAAGCCACAAAGAAATGGTTCAAAATCAACATTTTGCAATGGCCATCTCAGTCTCTGGACTTGAACCCCATTGAAAACCTGTGGTATGGAGGAATGCTCTAAGATCCCTCCCAATGTGTTTTCCAATTTCATAAATCATTTTATAAAAAGGCTCAGTTCCGTTATCCTAGCAAGGTTTGGTATTGAAAGGTAATGAAAACAGGGGCCAATAATTTTGACCCCTTTTTAAAATGTTTTTAAAAAATTGTTAAAGGAAGAATCCTTAGTTGCTACATCAATTTTTGGACTTAAAAATTAATGATGTATACCCATAGACTTTTGAAGAATATAACTTATAAATGCCTCATGAGCTTAGTTCAACTGTCCTACCCCATCAGAACCCAAAATATAAGCTTGTTTTACTCCAATGTTTGTAAACAATGTAAATGTAAACAAACACTGTATAGCCTCAAAACATGGTTAACATTTCAGAGTGGTTACATTTCTCCAGGACCATCACTCCAGCTTTTTACCAAAAAAGTGTCTGGTTGACCGCTTTGTTATTTAAGGATTCTAGCTTTAAACAAAATCTCTTTCTCTGAGCAATTGTATTAGTATAAAATAATATAATGTTCAAACTTTTTGGAGCATACAATATAGCTCAGTATTTGTATTATTTAGTATTTTTTTGCTAATCTTTATCAAGGGTGCCAATAATTTTGGACCTGACTGTATGTATATATAAGTGCCATCTTTGGAGAAACATTCCCTTTTTAAAAACTGCAAAGCCATTCATGAGGAACAGATCTGTATAATACTCTGTATAAGACCCTGTATAAGTATCTCTTCCAAATGTATTCAGAATCTTTCCCTTACAAAAATATATATCAATACATCATGTAAACGTGAAAAATGTTTCCTCGTTTAAGAACTTTATAAACTCCCAATTAGAATGTACGTTTTTGAGAATAGCAACTGAAGACAAATATAATGCATGTAATCCATTTCTAATCTCTTTTGACATCTATATTGAAATAAAGAGTGGGGTACTTTGGCTTGGTAGTGATCTAGCAACAGCACACTGTGGAACAACCTCACGTATTCTGATGTGTCGTAAAGAGCGAATATACAGTACATGTCAAGGTCATTTGGAGGAAGATCACTGATCTTAGATAAGTGATTACATATAGGTCTACAGACTGTACTGTATGCTTCCCTGTGTTTGGTTGGAGGGCAACACACAGACTTACTGTGGAGATGTGACTATAATGGGGGTTGCTGTTCATAAGCAAAGAAGTAGAATGGCCCAGATTCTGCTGTGACTCACTCACTCCCTCAATCCACTGCTGTCTACCTCTCCTCCATCTTGAAATCTAAGAGCTGCACTCTATATCCCTCTCTTCTCTCTCTCCCTTCCTCTCTCTACGAGCTCACCCCCAGGGACTTCTTCATGTGTTCGTAAACCACGTACGAGATGCTGACAGCAGGAATGACCTTCAGGAAGTTAGGGGCGATGCCGCGGTAGAGCCCAGGTACCCCGTCATGTGATATGATGTGCTTGAACTGACCGACCATGGACAGCTTGGGCCCGCCCTCAGTGGAGGCTGGTGGGAAGAGGGAAAGAGGGAGAAAACGTCTGTTGTTCAGTTCAGTTATATCCGTTAGTTAGCTATTAATAGATAACTAATGACTATGAACAACTGATAACAATATTGATTCAGTTATCAAAATGCTACTGCATATAGTTTATTTTGCAAATTTTTTGTGACCAAGTTTTTAATTATATTTTCTGTTTGGATAGCCCATACAGTAATATATATAGGGTAATAGGTTGATATGGTAGGTAGTAATTCATTTGTTATAGAATGTTATAGAATGTAACAGAATCTATATTATCTATGTAATATAATCTATGTTATGTAGTAAGGTAGAAGTTAGAATTGTAGTTCAGTTGTACACCAGTCTCACCCTGGGCCTGCATACGTGTTCTAATGAGGGCCAGGGGGTAGGAGGCCAGTTGTCCACAGGTACTAGACACAGTACCACAGCCCAGCAGCACCAACACCCCCGGGTCAGCAGAGCCCTTACAGTACCGCTGGAGCCAGGCATTCTTCAGAGTCTGAGATGGAAAGGGGGATACCTAGTCAGTTGTACAACTGAATGCATTCAACTGAAATGTGTCTTCCGCATTTAACCCAACCCCTCTGAATCAGAGAGGTGCGGGGGGCTGCCTTAATCGACATCCACGTCTTAAAGGGGGAGGGGAAGAGAGAGAAGAGGAGGGGGGGAAAGGAAAGAGACAAGGAAAAAAGAAAAGAAAAGAGAGAGGAGGTGTAGAGGGGTGTGAGAGTGGAAACGAGAGAGGAATAAGCAAAGGGATAGATGGATCATTCAGTTAATTTGACAGATATTTTATTGCGTCCAAAAAATGAGGACATAGTAGAGAGAACCACAGCTCATTGACAGCTAGTAAATGTAAAACCCAAAGTTCACTTAAACACATAAAAGTCATTTTTACGAGAGAGCTGGGACACAGTAACAGCAGCATACATACTGACTGGCATTCCCCTGAGTACAAGGGACAGAGACAGTGATGAGGATTAGCTTTCCCAGAAAACATCAAACACAGCTGGCAGACACACACACACACACACACACACACACACACACAGGGCTGACCCCATTTAGTCGACTGGTTGATTGTTTGGTTGATAGGCTGTTGGACGACATTTATTTTATTTTATGGCAGACGAGACACCTGTCTGACTCACACCTGTCTCGGTGGACTAATCCATTACAGAGGCCACGGTTATCTTGATCTCTGGCTCCCTCTTGAGTCATTTGTGTGTCTTAATTATTTAATAAAAGCAGTGCACTTAAAGCATCAGACTAGCTCAGTGCATATCGTTGATTTTATTAAAACATATAAGGTGTGTCTATACATGGAAAAATAAAAGTTTAAAAATGTTGACCAATCGATAGACGACGGTTGATAGACGACAGACAACAAATATTTTTGGGGGTCAGGGACAGCCCTACTCTCTCTCACACACACACACACACACACACACTTTCTCACACACACCTCGTAGACGGCCAGGTCTATGCCAGCATACGGTATGATGCCGAGTGTGTTGGGCACGTAGCCCCTGTAGAAGGCTCGGACCCCCTCCTTCCTCAGGATCTGACGGGCACAGTCTGCCATGCCAGAGTACTGGCCAGTCTTCCTCAGGGTCAGACGAGTCTTCAGCACCTGGGGAGGGAGAGAGGGGAAAGAGAGAGGGTGTGCAAGGAAGAGAAGGAAAATGAGAGAAAAGTCCTATGTTTCTTTATGCGATAAAACATCTGTCTATCTTTCTGTCTGTCTGTCTCCCCTCGCTCACCTCCATAGGGTAGATGATGGTCTGTGCGGTGGCTCCAGCCAGAGAGCCAGCGATGAACCTCTCCTGCACCCGCAGAGTACCCGCTTCATTTCTGCCCCTGATCAACCACTTGATCTAGGATGGAGGAGTGAGGGGAGACAGGGGGAGAGGAGAGACAGGCAGGTGGAAGAGAGGCAGGGATATACAGGGATTAAGGGGTGAGGGGGATAGATTGTGGGAGGTGGGGGAGGCAGGGATACAAAGTGAGGGGGAGGTGGGGGAGACGGGGGTGAGGGGGGAATATGTGAGTCACACTGGGGTGGAGGAGGAGAGTCAGAGACATAACACGTAGAGACACAGGGTGTGTGAGGGTGTGTCTGACAGGGTGAGAAACAGAGTGTGTGTGTGTGAGCAACATTTCACACCTCATTGTGTGTGTGACTCCTTCATTCCTATGCTTCACTAATGACTACCCCATACACCAGAACTTGTAGCAGGTAGCTTAGTGGTTAAGAGCGTTGTGCCAGTAACCGAAAGGTCGCTGGTTCTAATCCCCAAGCCGACTAGGTGAAAAATCTGTCGATGTGCCCTTGAGCAAGGCACTTAACCCTAATTGCTCCTGTAAGTCGCTCTGGATAAGAGCGTCTGCTAAAATGACATAAATGTAAAATGTGTGTATCAGTGTTCTCCTTACATTGGTCCATAATAAATCCAAATCAACCTCTGGGGCCTCTTACACTCACATTTGTATACATTTGTATCCCTCACCTGTTCGTAGGCCATGAACTTGATGGCAGACTCTGGGGCTATTTTGAGGACGTTGATGCCGTTGCCCCTCCAGAGAGCTCGTACACCCCCCTCCTGGACCATCCCCCTCAGCCCCGTCCACAGGTTGATCCCCTTAGAGCTGGAGCCATGCACCTAGAGAGACAGCAGGGTTAGTAACTCTAATAACATACTGTACATCAGGGGTGGCCAACCCTCCTCCTGGAGAGCTACTGTTCCAGCCCTGCTCTAACACACCTGATTATACTAATCAGCACTGCACTGACCTCTAACCTCTGTAGTAAACACAACAGTAACCCTTCACCTGTAGGAAGACCTTGAGACGGTCGAGGGGGGCGGTTCCTGTCCGTGACACCGCCCCCGCCATCGCCCCGGCAACCAGCTGCCTCCACACTACCCCCGACTGGCGCTCTTGCTGGGAAAACTCTGGCGGCACTGTCATGTGCTCTCCGATGTCAAACATCTGAGAAATCACAGAGAAACACTGGTCAGTGAAATAAACTTTATTGACAGATAATGGCATCCAAATTTATATAACAGAGATCGAGAAAATGGCCAAAGTTGTAATGAAAGGATACTGGCTAAATTATTAGTTTCTATAGTTACTCTGTAATTACATTTTATTACATCAACTGAAAATTCCATGTAATGCTATCTGTGCTACTTCATGTCAAGCAAAGTTCTAAACCAGAGAGTGTAGAGATAGAAGGCATAGATAGGCAGTACTGACTGACCAGAGAGTGTTTCCAGTAGTGGGCGATGCCCTCCATGTTGTGAAGAGGGTTAAACAGGAAGTGATCTCGCCACTCATTCCAGTTGATAGTCATGGTGCCGTCCCTGTCCATACTGATAGAACACACACACACACACAGAGCAGTGTGAACACACACACACAGAGACACACCCACAAGCTTATAAACAGACACACACACATGCTTACAAACACACACCTCTGTAGTATTTTGATGGCGTGTTCTGTGGACACCTCCAGTCCCAGGTTGTGCAGCGATTGTTGAATCTCCCCGACATCAATGCGCCCTGCATAAACAGTGAATCCCATCAGTGCCTACAATATGTAATATGTACATACAGGCATACAGTACAGTTGGAGCACAGTGATGTGTAAGTCGCTCTGGATAAGAGCGTCTGCTAAATGACTTAAATGTAAATGTAAATGTGTGTGTGTGTGACTACTATGTGAACCACATGCAACAATGTGGTATGATACTAAAGACCATTCATGCAGTGATACCACACATTCTGATAAATTACCATAACAGTGCAATGTGACATAGAATGCTCTGTGCATGTATGAACAATTTAAACAGTGTTTTGCGAGTGAAAGGACAAAGTACCACAAACCCCAGAGGTGCCTTATTGCTATTATAAACTGGTTACCAACTTAATTAGTGCAGTAAAAATACATGTTTTGTCATACCCATGGTATACGGTCTGATATACCACGGCTGTCAGCCAATCAGCATTCAGGCCTCGAACAACCCAGTTTATAATTGTTATTTAAATACTTATTTTCTGTGGGTGTGGATAAGAGCATCTGCTAAATGACAAAAATGTAAAATGTAAATGTGTGTGCGTGTGTATGTGCGTAAGGCGCATGTGTGAGTGAGGTGGCAATGCCGACCGTCGTGGTTGCGGTCCAGTGTGTGGAACATGAGCCGCAGTTCCTTTTCGTGGGCCCACAGGTACTGAGAGAACTCCTCAAAGTCCAGCAAGCCATCATGGTTGGTGTCACTCTCACGCACTATCTGCAGGGGTAGGGGTGGGGCGAGAGAAGGAGGGGTAAAAATAGCAGACAGGGAGGGGTGAAGGGTCAAACAGTGTAGGGGACAGGGGGTGGGTGAGAGAGAGAGAGAGAGAGAGAGAGAGAGAGGGGATGTGACAAGGTGAAAAAGTGGGGGGTGGTTTGGGGCCGGGGGTGAGATTTAGGGTAAGGTGATAGTTTGAGGGTGTGAGAGGTGAATGGAGGGAGTGAAGGGAAGAAGCAGGAAGGAGTGCGTGAGAAATGACAACAAAGACTATCATTGTTACCTTTACAAGGTCAGTTTTACAAGGTCTTAACCTGCAAACATAAAACAATCAGCAGTACTGCTCTCTCTTCATCCTCTCTAGTGCTTCCTCAAACAAGGAGAGGAAGAAGGAAAGAGAGAGAAAGAGAGAGATAGAGAAAGAGAGAATAGAGTGAGAGCAAGAGTGAGAAAGAAAGAGCGAGAGAATAGTATAGAGAGAGAGCGAGCGAGAGACAACCCAGACTCTGACCTCGTCATAATCCGCTTCACTCCTGTGCCCAGTGTCCAGTTAATCTCCAGTAACAATCAAGTGCTACTGGAATCTGACCTGAACCAACGCACACACACACACACACACACACAAGCACACAGTACACACGCAGACACAGGCGCACACACACACACTCACATCACACGGGAAAGGAGAGATTTGCTCAATCTTGGCAGCAACGTTTTCAGAATCTTGTCTAAGCCTATCAAGGGGGTCTTTCTGAGTCTGTCCATCTTATATTTTTTATGAATATATTCACGATGAATAAGTGGTTCAAGAATCCACAAAATCCTTGACATTGTTACTGAGATAGCAATGGGGAGGATTTGCATATTATCATGAAATTCAAATGAGACTCCTACTTATCCTGCCACTTATCCTCACCATTTCAACTTTCTGTTTGGTATACATGCTTGAATTTTAACTCTAAGTGTAGCTGATGGAAGCTGTCTGTATAACATATGACAAGTATAACTTTAAGTATGCCTTTGAATTGGCCCCCTCCTCCATGACACAAATACAATCAGAGCAAAGTCTATTTAAGCATTCCCAGACAAATACATTCTGGTCTAGTGATATTGCCTGTGGTGTCTGAAAACTCCCAGAGGAGATTTGAAGGACAAGCACAGCTGTGGGTGATGATGCTTAGCTAAACTAGCCTACTATTTGAGTGTGGAGAGATGATGCTAAGCTAATGTTCTGCATGGCTGTGGAGGGATGATCCTATGTGAAAGGAGTGATGCTAAACTAAACTACTGAGTGTGGTGGAGTGATCTCCTAAGCTAATTTCCTTTATGCTAACGTAAATTACTGATTAAATGTAACCTGAGGAGTGCTATCTGTGTGCTTCTGTATCACCTACAGTGCCTTCAGAAAGTATTAATACTCATTGACTTATTCCACATTTTCTTGTGTTACAGCCTGAATTCAAAATGGATTAAATGGATTGTTTTCTCTCACCCATCTACATACAATATGCCATAATGACAAAGTGAAAACATGTTTGTAGAAATGTTTGCACATTTATTGAAAATGAAATACAGAAATCTAATTTACATAAGTATTCATACCCCTGAGTCAATACATGTTAGAATCACCTTTGGCAGCGATTACAGCTGTGAGTTACATCTGTGAGTCTTTCTGGGTAAGTCTCTAAGAGCTTTGCACACCTGGATTGTACAATATTTGCCATAGATTTATTGCAAAAGGGATGCATGCTTTGTTATATTTTTATTCTGTACAGGCTTCCTCCTTTTCACTCTGTCATTTAGGTTAGTATTGTGGAGTAACTAAAATGATGTTGATCCAACCTCAGTTTACTCCTATCACAGCCATTAAGCTCTGTAACTGTTTTTAGAAGTCACCATTGGCCTCATGGTGAAATCCCTGAGCGGTTTCCTTCCTCTCGGCAACTAAGTTAGGAAGGTGTATTGATACACCATACAAAGTGTAATTAATAACTTCACCATGCCCAAAGGGTTATTCAATGTCTGCTTTTTTTTTTACCCATCTACCAATAGGTGCCCTTCTTTGCGAGGCATTGGAAAACCTCCCTGGTCTTTGTGGTTGAATCAGTGTTTGACTGCTCGACTGAGGGACCTTACAGAGAATTGTGTGTGTGGGGTACAGAGATGAGGTAATCATACAAAAATCATGTTAAACACTATTATTGCACACAGAGTGAGTCCATACAACTTATTATGTGACTTGTAGGCACATTTTTACTCCTGAACTTATTTAGGCTTGCCATAACAAGGGGTTGAATACTTATTGATGAAGACATTTCAGCTTTTCATTTTAAATGAATTGGTAAAAATGTCAAAAAACATAATTCCACTTTGACGTTATGGGTATTGTGTGTAGGCCAGTGACACAAAATCTAAATTAAATCAATTTTAAATTCAGGCTGTAACAACAAAATGCGGAAAAAGTAAAGGGGTGTGAATACTTATTGAATGCACTGTATGTGCCACTGCCGGCCATGAAAGTCCAGTCGGTATGGTCGGAAAGAGTCAGACATCCGAATATCAGCACCATGGCCTGTAAGTAACTTTTTGGTCCACCAGCCACTATGGCAGGTAGATGGAAAAATCTACCAGCCACTCAGATTTTTTACCAGCCAAAATATATTTGGGCCATAATTACACCATGACAATTACAACATATGAAAGTCTATTTTCTCTCGCTTTAGCTCAAATAATGGCCGTCATTGATTTAAAGAAATGTTGCAAAAAACATTACGTGGTTGCATCATATTTCTGTGCATACTTTCCAATGAAGCTTGCATCGATGCATGCTTCCAAAGATGTACAAAAAGAGAACGTATTCGAGAAGTGCTCCGTTTCGCATACTTTGATTTGGACTCATACTCCGACCCTCCCGTGCTCCAATTTGCATGCTCGAAGCACGGTAGTATGCATTCAATGCTCGATTTGAGGCAAGCAACACTGAACAATGCATGAGCGCACCAGCTGTTCTGGACAACTGTGTGATCACGCTCTCTGTAGCCGAAGTGAGTAAGACCTTTAAACATGTTAACATTCACAAGGCCGCTAGGCCAGACGGATTACCAGGACGCGTACTCAGAGCATGGGCTGACCAGCAGGCAAGTGTCTTCACTGACATTTTTCAACCTGTCCCTGACCCAGTCTGTAATACCTACATGTTTCAGGTGGACCACCATAGTCCCTGTGCCCAAGAACGCCAAGGTAACCTGTCTAAATGACTGTCGCTCCGTAGCACTCACATCTGTAGCCATAAAATGCTTTGAAAGGCTGGTCATGTCTCACATCAACACCATCATCCCAGACACCCTGGACCCACTCCAATCCGCATACCACCCCAACATATCCACAGAATCTCTATTACACTGCACACTGCCCTTTCCTACCTGGACAAGAAGAACACCTATGTGAGAATACTGTTCATTGACTACAGCTCTGCGTTCAACACCATAGTGCCCTCCAAGCTCATCACTAAGCTATGGACCCTGGGACTGAACACCTCCCTCTGCAACTGGATCCTGGACTTCCGAAGGGACCGCCCTCATGTGGTGAGGGTAGGCAACAACACATCCGCCACTCCCTGTTTACCCCATGACTGCGTGGCCACGCACGACTCCAACACCATCATTAAGTTTGCCAACGACACGACGGTGGTAGGCCTGATCACAGACGACGATGAGACAGCCTATAAGGAGGAGGTCTCTGACCAGGACAATAACCTCTCCCTCAATGTCAGCAAGACACAAGGCTGTAGTGGAGCGGGCCGAGAGCTTCAAGTTCCACTTGGTATGGCAACTGCTTGGCATCCGACCGCAAGGCGCTACAGAAGGTAGTGCGTATGGCCCAGTACATCACTGGTGCCGAGCTCCCTGCCATCCAGGACCTCTATACCTGCAGTGTCAGTTGGAAGGCCGTAAAAAAATGACTCCAGCCACCCAAGTCATGACTGTTCTCTTTGCTACCGCACGGAAAGTGGTACTGATGCACTGAAGTCTGGAACCAACAGGATCCTGAACAGCTTCTATCCCCAAGCCATAAGACTGCTAAATAGTTAGTCCGGGTAGCTATTTGGTTAACTATTTAACTATCTGCATTGACCCTTTTTGCACTAACTTTTTTGACTCATCACATAATCTGCTGCTACTGTTTATTATCTGTCACTTTATTCCTAGTTATATGTACATATCTACCTCAATTACCTCGTACCCCTGCACATCGACTCGGTACTGGTACCCTGTGTATATAGCCAAGTTATCGTTACTCATTGTGTATTTATTATTACATATTTTACTTTTCTATTATTTCTCTATTTCTTTCTCTCTGTATTGTAGGGAAGGGCCCCTAAGTAAGCATTTCACTGTTAGTCTACACCTGTTGTTTACAAAGCATGTGACAAATACAATTTTATGTGAAGACTGAGGTTAAGGTGTGTGTGTGTGTGTGTGTGTGTGTGTGTGTGTGTGTGTGTGTGTGTGTGTGTGTGCATGTGTGTGTGTGTGTGATATTAAGGTCAGGCGGGGTCAGGGCTGCACCAGGTTTGTGTTACAGTCATACCTTTAAAATATTCATCCAGGAAAGTGTTGCTTTCCTGTCATGTACTGGGACAAGCAGGTCAGAAAAGCGTAGATCAGTATTGTGTTGAAGCAACAGAGTTTTCAGATAGCACTGGTGAGAGGCAACTTGAGTTGGAGGGATGTGTGAAAATAGCACTAGTTAATGTTGTGTTGTTTTGAGTTAGAGAGAGCGGTGGAGTTTTGAAATAGGCCACAGATGTCTGGGTAATGGAGCACTGGTCCAGTGCTGCTGATCCAATTTCCACTGTTCTGCCTGTGGCTATGGAACCCTGACCTGTTCACTACCTTGTCCCGGACCTGCTGTTTGTCTCCCTCCCCCTCAACCTCGCTCTCTCAACCTCTAAATGCTATGAAAAGCCAACTGACATTTACACCTGAGGTGCTGACCTGTTGCACCCTCTATAACCACTGTGATTATTATTTGACCCTGCTGGTCATCTATGAACGTTTGAACATCTTGAAGAACAATCTGGCCATCTACTCTTATAATCTCCACCCGGCACAGCCAGAAGAGGATTGTCCACCCCTCAGAGCCTGGTTCCTCTCCTAGGTTCCTGCCTTTCTAGGGAGTTTTTCCTAGTCACCGTGCTTCTACATCTGCATTGCTTGCTCTTTGGGGTTTTAGGCTGGGTTTCTGACCCAATGTCACAACGTAACGATTGGTGCTTTGGAAACATGCTGAAATATGAACTGATTGCTGGGAACATGTCTACAACTTCATCAGCAATCTGTGAAACTATCGTAAATAAGTGACAAGCTACACGCTGTTTACCAGTGCAGTTCCCAACATCCTTAGCGAGCTAGCTAACATTCCATCCCTGTGTTTGTCAGTGAAGCTAGCTAGCAGCAGGCAGGCTACAACAAGCTAAATCAGCTGATGAAATCACTGGCAATGATATTCTTGCACATATTTTGTGCAGGAGTAGAGAGATGTTGTTTTGTTTGTACAACTTTTTCACTGTCTATCAGAGCATGCTTCTGTCCCAGTGCCCATGTTTCAGAACGAGTGAGTCATGCACAAGACAGGTCGCGGGAGACAATGCTTGTGAATGGATTTAGAATTTTTGAATATTGATAAGTGTAAGTAGGGACGTCGAGTGTGCATCGTCTCAATGCTCATTTTGGCGAAAAACACTTGCAGACTCGAGTGATCTCTATCGAACACAACAGCAAGTGGCCACTCGATAAAGGGCTCTGTTTGAGATTCAGCCTATGACTGCGGTAAAAATAACTGTATTGCTCCCTAGGGGTCATACGCAATAGTATGCGGTAAAGGAGTCAATGGAACGTTCCATTGACCAGATTGGCGCACATTCAACAAATCTGATCTAACAAAATGGATATTCATCAAATCCGTCAAGATGTATGTATTGTAACAGGCCCACAATGTGGTTACTTAAGTCCAATTTGGATATATTTGGCTGTTTTCGCTGCATAACATGTAGAAGTTGTCACTTTTCAGGTTTAAAAGAAGTGACTGCTAAATGATCACTCCCGTTTGTAGTCCAAGTAGTTTTTAACTGTAATGCAGTTGATTGGTAATGATGACATGAACATGTGTTGGGGTTGACATCTATACAAGTATTATACTCCGATATTTACCTCAACATAGTGTGAAATACACACATAAACAATAGCCTAAATGTAGGGTAATTTTGCTGGGGGGCAATGAGGAGCCCTTTCTCCCACGCGTTTCAATGGCAATTTTGGTCAAGTCCGATTGACCCTTTTACCGCATCTATAGGACCACCATACGCAATAGGACCATATTCTTATTTTTTGTAAATATAATTTTTACTTTTACCCCTTTTCCTCCCCAATCTGCAACTCCCCTACGGACTCGGGAGAGGCGAAGGTTGAGAGCCATGCGTCCTCCGTAACACGACCCTGCCAAGCCGCACTGCTTATTGACACACTGCTCGCTTAACCCGGAAGCCAGCCGCACCAATGTGTCGGAGGAAACACCGTCCAGCTGGCGACTGAAGTCAGCTTGGAGGCGCCCGGCCCGCCACAAGGAGTCGCTAGAGCACGATGGGACAAGGAAATCCCGGCCGGCCAAACCCTCTCCTAACCCGGACGACGCTGGGCCAATTGTGCGCCGCCTCATGGGTCTCCCGGTCACGGCCGGCTGTGACACAGCCTGGGATCGAACCCGGGTCTGTAGTGACGCCTCAAGCACTGCGATGCAGTGCCTTAGACCGCAAAGGACCATTTTCTGCATTGTGCATGTGGAATTGTATTATTTTTTATTTTTAAAGGTCCCGCACAGTCATCCTATTTCCCAAGTAAAAATTGCCTTTGAATTAACCAAAACATCCCCCGTAATATTTTTACGCTATTAAAATGCTCAGAATTGAAGAAATTGTACCTTTTCTCTCATCTCTAACTAACAGGAAGCCTGACAGAACGGGCTTATATTCATGAGCTCGCCTTGACTGACAGCTCTTTGAAACAGCCTTGTGGTCGTTGCCAGGTAACAAGGTAAACAATGGGCCACATGTCAATGATGACCAGGTAAACAATGGGCCACATGTCATTCCGAGCCTAAATATTATGCCTCAACCCATTTTCTCTGCAAAATGTTCTAATTACAGAATACAGTTCACTGATACACTTCTTCATCAGAATTAGCAAAGCCTGAGTCACTGTCGACGCTAAGACATAAGGGAATGTACATGAAAACAGCATACAATAAGTGTACTGGACAATTTATTGGTGCCTCTACATTAGCATTATAAATGACAATATGTTCAGAATTGTACTGTATGTATTGATCAGACATTTATTTGATAATTTACATTAGGCAAGCATAGCTGAAATATTGATCAACATGGACACTCATGAGAAATAAAGGTGAGAAATAATGGTGAGACATCATCTGACATAAAAAAATTGTTTTAACCATAAGCCCTAATATAGGCACCTGGCTACCCTACAGTGTACAGGACCCCATTGATTCATACAATTTGTAACTCATCTCCCATCCGAATGTTAGAAAAATAACTATACAAAGAAATAAAATGTGATATATCACGTAAAAGTGAATTACTTAGGCTTTGGGAAATGCAACCAACTTCAAAGATTGATGGGACGGGGAGGGGAGCGGGAGAGGAGGGGGACCCATGTACCACGCTTCAATCAAGCGGGCTTCAGTCACCCACTTGGCTTCAGTCAGCCCGAAGATTGAAGCTGGAGACAAATCCAGGTATGGCTTCCTCCTATTCAGGCCTCTCACACTGGGCAGACAGGAGTTCTGGGATGGACAGCTAGCACAGCTTACCCACATACGGCACTGGATCAAGGGTGACCTCATTGAAGAGGAGATCCAGGAGCCTGTCTACGTAGCCTGTAAGGGTTTTGAAAAGGGCAATGTTTGTTAAATGGGTAGTGAAATTAATGTAGTTGTATTTACTGTTCTGAGTTATTATGCTATCAATTTGTTGATGTAGTAATGTACTCATTCTACAATGTGTTTTCTGGTGTTTTTGAAGTACTCAATTTGAAATACGCAATATTTGGTCATGCACTTTTTTGTGAAACTTTTCAATGTTTGTATTTGGAATTTGTGTGTGCCTGAAATGCTCAATTGATTTGAAATGAATAACTATGATTTATAGTATTGTTGGGTCTGTCTTCACAGACTTCACAGCATATCCCCCTTCTTTGGTCCGTCTTCACTTGGTCTGTCTTCACAGGCTTTACAGCATATCCCCCCTTCTTTGGGCTGACTTCACTTGGTCTGTCTTCACAGGCTTTACAGCATATCCCCCCTTCTGTGGTCTGACTTCGCTTGGTCTGTCTTCACAGGCTTTACAGCATATCCCCCCTTCTTTGCCTTGGGAAAGCTGATTTTGTATCACAGCATTCCTGATGCGGTGGTTGCTTGGAAATATGTGCAGACCGAGTAGATGTAGAATTTTCTAAAATGTACAGTACCAGTCAAAAGTTTGGACACACCTACTCATTCAAGGGTTTTTCTTTATTTTTACTGTTTTCTACATTGTAGAATAATAGTGACGACATCAAAACTATGAAATAACACATTTGGAATCATGTAGTAACCAAAAAAGTGTTAAACAAATCAAAATATATTTTATATTTGAGATTCTTCAAATAGCCACCCTTTGCCTTGATGACAGCTTTGCACACTCTTGGCATTCTCTCAATCAGCTTCATGAGGTAGTCACCTGGAATGAATTTCAATTAACAGGTGTGCCTTGTTAAAAGTTAATTTGTGGGGTAAATTACAAATACTATACTCACCGGAATTCATTTTGTGGACAACATTCCTTCGTATCAGCTGTGTGCTGTCAGTTTTCAGACTCAATGTAGGGGGCTTAGGGATGGAAGAACAAAAACCATACAGTGACTATCAGGTGTGTTGCAGAAAATATACCATCAAAGCAGCCCATTTACAGCCACAGCCACCGTGTCAGACTCATCAAACTCTGATACTTACATTGTGGTCAGTGCTTGCAAGATCCTCTGATCCACTGTCATTAATGGTTCAGCATCCATCTTCAGGATTAGCTTCCTGGCAAGACCCATCAAATGTTCTCCCCAATTGATAAAGCAACTTCGCTCGAAATGTGCACTGCACATGGTTGTTATGATCGTAATTTTCGGTTGAGCCTGTCTACTTGAAATGAAAGCAACCACCGCTGTCGGATGTCTTCATTCTTCGGAAAATAGAGTAATGTTAAATTAACACTATGGCATCCAGTCACGACACAGTGAGTTTTTTCCCAGCATGATGGTAAGTAGCTTGCTAGCTAAAAGTTACCACACAGATGAAAAGGGGTTAGTTACCAATATCGTTCTGGCACGTTCTACTTGAGCTATCGTACAGTTTGTAAACAAAGCCGTATGATGCGCACATGTGATGGTTTTAAGGCGTTACATATTTAAATTAGTTAAGATTATAAGACACTACCATTGGTGTATACAATTTCCGGCTTTACGTGACGTTGCATAAAGCCAGAAGTAATGCCTGCCTCCTGAATTCAAATGTTTGACATGGGGTAGAGGACCAGTAACTTTATGATCAACTTTGTTAATGTACCAGCTACAGTAATTTTTCATACTTGGATCAACCTACTACGAACTGATTTCATCCAAATATCATCACATTTTATGAAAAACATGATTTTCACTGTTCGGGACCTTTAATGAAAAAACTATTTTTAAAAATGTGTTGTTTAAACGTTAAGAAAATTAAAACATTTGTAATTGATAGCAACAACAGATTAAACAAATTTGGCCAAGGGGTCTGTGGAAGAAGTTGGGTGCAATACAATACAATGTGATATTATTCACCTACAATATACCCTTAAATGCACAACAGGGCCTGGGAGGCTCACAGGGATCCACAGTACTCCATCAATCATCCAGTTTTCAACTAAATACTTATTGTATTCCATAAAAATGTTGTTTTGAACATAAATTCACTGTAATTTAAGCTTTAAAACTGCAAAATTGTCTCTCTGCCCAATGGGAAAATAGATTGCAGGAAATTAGGGGAGGCTTAAATGTTACTTTCCAGGGCCGAATTCTTGGTAAGTCTGGCCATGCACTGCAGCAGTCATAAAACTCCTTGTATGCTATTTTTAACTCACTCTAAAGTCTGAGTTGTTTTCTGATTTTGAGGGGGTCCCTGATGAATTTGCTATCAGAAAAGGGGTACCCAGCCCTAAAAAGTTTGGGAACCCCTGGCCTATGTCATACATACTCTATCTGTATGATCAGTTTGTGTTGTTCTACAGGACATTATTTTCTTACTCCTTACTCAGCCAAGAACACACACAGTCTTGTACAGCTAACCTTGTGGGCACACACAATTCAGTCCCATTCAAAATCCTATTTTCCTTAACCCCTAACCCTAAACCTAACCCTAACCCTAAACCTAACCCTTACCCTAACCTTATCCCAAAAACCTAACTTTAATCCTAACCCTAACCCTAACTCCTAACCCTAACCCTAAAACTAACCCTAGCTCCTAACCCTAAACCTAATTCTAACCTTAACCCTAAACCCCCTAGAAATAGCATTTGACCTTGTGGGGACCAACAAAATGTCCCCAGTTGGTCAGATTTTTGTTCGTTTACTATTCTTGTGGAGACTTCTGGTCCCCACAATAATTGTTAAACACGTCCAAACACACACACACACACACACACACACACACACAATTAATGTGCCAATACGTATAATAATAGCTAGTGCCACGCAGGCTATAATCCAAGGGATACCCATGTCTATTGGAAATACCGCCATCATCACTGTTCCTCTCACCTCCTCCGCGTCACTGCGAAGTAAACCGCGGGCAGCGAGTCCTATCCTCAGCTCGTTGATGTCGACTTTACCGTCTTTATTGAGGTCCAGTTGGTCGAACAGTTCGGCCCATCTCTCTCGCGTTTCCGGCTCCCTCCCAGGGTCCGACACACCTTTGTCTTGTTCTTGACAGCGAGCCCGGGTCCAACCAAAGCAGAACCGAGCCCTGCCTTCGCCCATGTGAATGGGAGACTTGTGCAATCCTGATGGTGGTGGATATTATCCCAACCTGCTGCCGCGAAGCAGGCGTAGAAAATTGAAGGAGCGCTTTATGTTCGAATGACTCCCAGTGGGTATCCTTATGATAGCCTACCTATTAAAATCCTGGAACCATACCACAATAGCCGCACTGAAATAACTGCTGTTCTCTCTTGGTCTCGTTACCGAGGCACCGGTTTAATACACCGAGTCCTTGCCGAGAATGTCAGTACACCGGGCGCGGTGTAAGCTCTCAGTGCCTGTAATATTAATCCCCGTATCCGTTACATATCCCGTGACATCGGCGATGATTAAATCCATTAACTAATTCAAATGAATTAGTCTGTTGGTCAGGGGACTGGCTCTGCCTTTTGGATGAGCATGTGAGTCCCCGTGCAACGCAACGAAGCGAACCGAGCTCCTGGCGTTCGTGATATTTTACCACAGCTACAGCTTTGTGCACGCATGTAGGAAACCGGGTGGAATTTTATGCCGTCGTCTCTGACAACAGGCTCAATGCGGTGTGTGTGCGTGTTCGTGAGAGAGAGATACATCCCTTTTACTTTGAAAGGTTCGAAGTTAGAACATAATGTTAGTGGGGTGTAGCTGTAGTAGTAGAAGTTGAATAAAAATCCTCTACTTTCACCTCTGCAGGTCCATCCTCTCCTCCCACTCTCTCATACAATTATAATGCTTCCTTCTGTCCGGTACATAGCTACTATCATTATTGCAGCTGCTCCCATGACACACACACACACAAACACACACACACACACACACACACCAGCATCAAATCCCTCAAACTGTAATTCTAATCTAGCCTCTACCACACAACAGGCTACCACAGTATCCGTAGGCCTAAACACCTGACTGACATTTAATTCAACTGAATTCTAAATTTATAATGGAGGAACATTAATGTGATATCCATTTTCACAGTGAAAGTAAAGGGTGTTGTTGGCTGCCCCATCCCCATTGAACCCATTGATAGCCTCTTATTGGTTATTAATAGAAACATAGTGGGGTTTGCATGCCGTGACGCGCATCTGGCGCACTGTGACAGAAACCGCCCGGTCATCATGCATGGGATATGAGAGATTATGCAGAGACAGTGGGAGGGAGGCTCATGACACAGTTCTAAAAATGTTGACATGCACCACCCACTGATAGTGTTTTGCTGTAAGAGGCATCCTCTTCAGCAGATGGGCTGGGTCCTGTTCGTAGGAAAGTAGCTCAATTTAACCAAAGTGGACTATAAGAGTCTCTCTCTCTCCCTCTCTCCACCAGTGGCAGGTCCAGAATATTTTGAATGGGGTGGCCAAGGTGGGGCACAGACCCAGTTTAGTGGGGCCATAACATTTTGATCCTTAATCGATGCAAGGTGGATTCTTTCAATATAATTATGATGGTTCAACGCATTAAATACTTCAGCTTAGGTTTGGTACATTTCCCTGTTCAAATAAATCATAAATAAATTCAAAAAGTCTTGCTACAGTGTTTGCATTAAAAAATAAGCGCATTAGCATAAAGCAGTTAATTCACTTGAAAGTGCCATCCAGAGTGTGAATTATACTACGACATTTGGGGGTCTCAATTTCTTTAACGGGACCGCCTATGTGTGCGGGCACTTTTTTATGGGCTTTATAGTAAAGACATTTAATTTTAACTGTAAAAATGTTTGACCTTTAAAGTGTCAGGAACACAACCAGTCATGATGTTTTCATCTGGTTGTCAAACAAATCACTTAAAAAGTAGGTTAAGTAGGTTACCTGCGCACGTTTGTCTACTCCAAAATAAGTCCAGCATCCGACCAGTGCGCTGTGCACCCACCATTTGAATGGAAAGGGACATCTATTACAAACACCATAAGTGTAATGACATTCAGCCTACAAAGTGGCACGTATTCATGGATGCCAAGGGAAGCCAGGCTTCCCCAACAATGTTAACAATACAAATTAAAATAAACGTATTATTTATCATTCTTGTCTATCCGTGTTTCATAATTTTCCACCAATTCACAAGAAGCTGAATGTATTTCACCAGAGAAAGCATCCGAGCGAGTCATACTCTTTTTGGCCAGACAGCATTAGATACATGGGGTACACATATTAAGACAGAGGGGCGCTGTTTCACTCACTCAGATGCTTTCTCTGGTGAGATAGATGAGTTTTGCTGTCGGTGTGCGTCTTGTTCAAAATTATCAATATATTCAGAGGTGACCTATCAGATCTCAGAATTTCAGAGGGGGCCACTAGATACGATCTAGCTAATATGCAAGTAAGTCGGTAGGCTACAGGATTTGATTAGATTAAATTACATTTTTACATTTACATTTTAGTCATTTAGCAGACGCTCTTAACCAGAGCGACTTACAGGAGCAATTAGGGTTAAGTGCCTTGCTCAAGGGCACATTAACGTCATTTAGCAGACGCTCTTAGCCAGAGCGACTCACAAATTGGTGCGTTCACCCTATAGCCAGTGGGATAACCACTTTACAATTTGGGGGGGGGGGGGGGGGGTTAGAAGGAATACTTTAGCCTATCCCAGGTATTCCTTAAAGAGGTGGGGTTTCAAATGTCTCCGGAAGGTGGTGAGTGACTCCGCTGTCCTGGCGTCGTGAGGGAGCTTGTTCCACCATTGGGGTGCCAGAGCAGCGAACAGTTTTGACTGGGCTGAGGGGGAGCTGTGCTTCCGCAGAGGAAGGGGAGCCAGCAGGCCAGAGGTGGATGAACGCAATGTCCTCGTTTGGGTGTAGGGACTGATCAGAGCCTGAAGGTACAGGGGTGCCGTTCCCCTCACTGCTCCAAAGGCAAGCACCATGGTCTTGTAGCGGATGCGAGCTTCAATTGGAAGCCAGTGGAGTGTGCGGAGGAGGGGGGGTGACGTGAGAGAACTTGGGAAGGTTGAACACCAGACGGGCTGCGGCATTCTGGATGAGTTGTAGGGGTTTAATGGCACAGGCAGGGAGCCCAGCCAACAGCGAGTTGCAGTAGTCCAGACGGGAGATGACAAGTGCCTGGACCAGGACCTGCGCCGCTTCCTGTGTAAGGCAGGGTCGCACTCTCCGAATGTTGTAGAGCATGAACCTGCAGGAGCGGGTCACCGCCTTGATGTTGGCGGAGAACGACAGGGTGTTGTCCAGGGTCACGCCTAGGCTCTTCGCACTCTGGGAGGAGGACACAGCGGAGTTGTCTACCGTGATGGCGAGATCATGGAACGGGCAGTCCTTCCCGGGGAGGAAGAGCAGCTCCGTCTTGCCAGGGTTCAGCTTGAGGTGGTGATCCGTCATCCATACTGATATGTCTGCCAGACATGCAGAGATGCGATTCGCCACCTGGTGATCAGAAGGGGGAAAGGAGAAGATTAGTTGTGTATCGTCAGCGTAGCAATGATAGGAAAGGCCATGTGAGGATATGACAGAGCCAAGTGACTTGGTGTATAGGGAGAAAAGGAGAGGGCCCAAAACCGATCCCTGGGGGACACCAGTGGTGAGAGCACGTGGTGCGGAGACAGCTTCCCGCCACGCCACTTGGTAGGAGCGACCGGTCAGGTAGGACGCAATCCAGGAGTGAGCCGCGCCGGAGATGCCCATTTCGGAGAGGGTGGAGAGGAGGATCTGATGGTTCACAGTATCAAAGGCAGCAGACAGATCTAGAAGGACAAGAGCAGAGGAGAGAGAGTTAGCTTTAGCAGTGCGGAGAGTCTCTGTGACACAGAGAAGAGCAGTCTCAGTTGAATGACCAGTCCTGAAACCTGATTGGTTTGGATCAAGAAGGTCATTCTGAGAGAGATAGCAAGAGAGTTGGCTAAAGACGGCACGCTCAATAGTTTTGGAAAGAAAAGAAAGAAGGGATACTGGTCTGTAGTTGTTGACATCAGTGGGGTCGAGTGTTGGTTTTTTGAGAAGGGGAGTAACTCTCGCTCTCTTGAAGACGGAAGGGACATGGCCAGCGGTCAAGGATGAGTTGATCAGCGAGGTGAGGTAGGGGAGAAGGTCACCGGAGATGGTCTGGAGAAGGGAGGAGGGGATGGGGTCAAGCGGGCAGGTTGTTGGGCGGCCTGCAGTCACAAGTCGCAGGATCTTATCTGGAGAGAGAGGGGAGAAAGAAGTCAAAGCATAGGGTAGGGCAGTGTGAGCAGGACCAGCAGTGTCATTAGGCTTAACAAACAAGGATCGGATGTCGTCAACCTTCTTTTCAAAGTGGTTGACGAAGTCATCCACAGAGAGAGAGGAGGGGGGGAGGGGGGGGGGGGAGGATTCAGGAGGGAGGAAAATGTGGCAAAGAGCTTCCTAGGGTTAGAGGCAGATGCTTGGAATTTAGAGTGGTAGAAGGTGGCCTTAGCAGCAGAAACAGATGAAGAAAATGTAGAGAGGAGGGAGTGAAAAGATGCCAGGTCGGCAGGGAATTTAGTTTTCTTCCATTTCCGCTCCGCTGCCCGGAGCTCTGTTCTGTGAGCTCGCAATGAGTCATCAAGCCACGGAGCTGGAGGGGAGGACCGAGCCGGCCGTGAGGATAGGGGACACAGAGAGTCAAAGGATGCAGAAAGGGAGGAGAGGAGGGTTGAGGAGGCAGAATCAGGAGATTGGAGGGAGAAGGATTGAGCAGAGGGAAGAGATGATAGGATGGAAGAGGAGAGAGTAGTGGGAGAGAGAGAGCGAAGGTTGCGGCGGCGCATTACCATCTGTGTAGGGGCAGAGTGAGTAGTGTGGGAGGAGAGTGAGAGAGAAAAGGAAACAAAGTAGTGGTCGGAGACTTGGAGGGGAGTTGCAGTGAGATTAGTAGAGGAGCAGCATCTAGTGAAGATGAGGTCAAGCGTATTGCCTGCCTTGTGAGTAGGGGGGGACGGTGAGAGGGTGAGGTCAAAAGAGGAGAGGAGTGGAAAGAAGGAGGCAGAGAGAAATGAGTCAAATGTGGACATAGGGAGGTTGAAATCCCCCAAAACTGTGAGGGGTGAGCCATCCTCAGGGAAGGAACTTATCA